AGTTATTGCCATGGCTATTAGTTATAACTGGTTATTTCTATGGGATTATACATTCTATTTTGATGGGGTTTTCTTAGTACTTAGAACTGGTAAAGGGCCTTAAATCACCACCATGTCACCACTCGTTGTTGATGCTCAAAATTTCCATACGCCGACGTGGGCGAGTTAGGATGGTGGTTTTGAAAACCCAAAGCCTTCTGGTAATCAAAAGTGATTGGCCGGAAAAATCCTTAAAAGAAACGGAGGCAACTCTAGCGAAATTTATCTGTGGGTGGTGGACATTTCAATTGTCATGTTTGATTACCAGAGGGTATAGGTTTTGAACCACCACCCAGATTTACATTGGAACATTTTGGACGTGTCAAAACATGTCAAAATAATTGATGCGCTATTTCATTGACAGTGGGATAGGTTTTTTAAACCACAACCCAGATTTATGAAGTTTTAGACTTGTGAAAACATGTCAAAATGATTGAAGCACTACCTCATGGCCATCAAGACATGGGGAAACACATGAGTAGCCATGGATAACTACTAACTAACAACTAGACAAACACATCATATCACACATAACATTTAAGACACACCATGCGATGAACTGAATGCTTTCTTGCATGAAGGGAGGCTGCATTGCACTGTTTATGCAATGATGAACTGACCGTTTCTGGTGGGTGATAATTCTGTCCAAAACTGTAAAAAAAAGCATTCAGCCAGACTGGTAGTCCCTCATCCATAAAAGAGTGGATCCTTTTGGTGAATTTGTGAGGAAACATTTGGCAATTCTTGGAAAGTCCACCCTCTGGTAAACTAACAGTTTGCTATTGAAAATGGCACAGTCGAAATAGTGGATTTACCCATTAATAGCATAGTGGATTTTTCCATAGTTTTTCGTATGTTTACCAGAGGGTATGGAATAATGCCATTTATGATTTACAACCATTTCCTATATAATAACCATTTAAGCTGGTAAAAGGCCTCAACTGTAATATAATACCTATAGTTATATAGTTAATGTGCGTATAATTCAACAAACACCACTGAAGATTTGGCACCTAATCATATTCCTCAGTAAATCAGGGTTTCATTTCTAGGCGCACAAGGCCAACGAACACATTCAGTCGGACCACTCATATTTTTGGCGTCTTGTCCCATGCAGAGCCCGAAATGCCAGTTCAAAATCAGTTATAAACCCAATTATATGGAATAATAACAACATGTATAACAAATTATCACCATTTATAAGCATTATAACTAGTATTTCGGGCACTATGGATCCAACCGCTTTCAAACCTTGAGTCAGATAGTCCAAATTGAAGGCAGCCCGAAGTTTCTGAATTTTCCCACGTTGACTGTGATCAAAAGTCTGGATCGCAAGTTGAAGCACTAATTGAGCAATGTGGGGCAATCGCTAAGTTGCTTGGGGGCCACATAGTTCCAATTTCACTCTAGTTTATGGTACAAAAATACTTAACCAGTTACGTTTATAAACCAAATCATAACTGGGGGCCCATACATTGAATCCGTCCAAATCCCTGATTTTTGAATTCCTATATCTTGAGCAAACATCAATCAGGGCATCCTATCAGTCATATATTGCTGGGTTTCTAGGCACTATGCAACCCCATTTGGAGGGATTTAATGAATTTATATAATTATATTAAAACAACAGTTCCGGGTAGTCATCACCCCCTTTTGTGGAAATGGTGTTTCCAACCCTTTTCAGTGAGCCCCAAAATGGATAGAACCCGATCAAGAAGTTCTTCGAATGTAGGCACATTGAATAACCAAATTATGTGTTTCTAGACCGATTGGGATAATGGTTTAAAACTAACCAATTGTATTTGAACTCAATTTCAATGGTAAAAACAACACCAACTATAGCTACCCTCTGGTAAACGTTTACATAGCTATGGAAAATTGCCCATAGAAATAGATGGTTTACCTATGAACAATGGCCATGTTCAATAGCTATGTTAAATTACCAGAGGGTAAATTCATCACATGGTTCTTTTTCATCCAGAGTACCCCAAAATATTCTGGACAGTGCAAATGTTTCCGGCAGGGTGAGTGGTATACCTGGTATATCAACATTTTCAGACATACCAGCATTGATATTGCTGGAAAGGGGTGTCTGAAATCTAATAAGCATTCAATAGCTGGTAATAGCCAACCAATAATTGGAATAATTGGATAGTGGTATTACCTTTTCATATAGTTCGTTCCATATCCAATTACTACCCATTCTATTGCTTTTGACTCGTCCCCATATGGAACAAATCATATGTGTTGATCCCTATAGGTGTTGATCCCCACATATATATACATATATGTATATAAATATATATAAATATATATATATATATATACATATGATGTATTTACCCATACATATAATGTATTTACGCATACATATGTATATATGTGTATATATTAAAAACTATATCAATATTTATATATATATGCACATATATATATACACTATAACATCATTATTCTGTGTTCTTGTCATATATTTTCACATACAGTATTTATTGGATTTATAAATCATTGTTACAAACAATAGTGGAGGTATGTTCACCAACTTAGCTATTTAGGGGATTGTACCTCTACTATAAAACATACTATACACCATGTAACCCTACAATTCACACATTACAGTAATTATTTACACTGTGAACCTAGTATGCTTTACATTCACGGTATTTATGTTTTACATTACAGTTCACCATGTAACTATACACCATGTAACCATACAAAGTGGGGCCCCCAAACGATAGCTAAGTTGGTGAACATAACTCCAATAACTATATGGTTTCTGGTACGCAAATAACGAACCTATTACGGGGGTTTATAAACAAACGTTCACATCACTGGGGGGCACCACATTGTACAATTCATCACATTATACATTATACCATGTGTTATTTATTTACCATGTGCAGTTCAGCACCTTTTGTGTTATATAATATTGATATATATGAATATATTGATATTGGCTTTGGTAAATATATATATATATTGGTATTGGTATATACAAATATATATTTATTTATATATATATACTCGAAGGAAGTTTAGAAGTCAAACTTCCGACAATATGGAGAGATGAAAAAGCAGTCAGCAGGGAGAAGAGTCAGAAGAGAAAAGATCAGAAGAAAGAAGCTGCAGGTGCGCGAAAAGGTAGGAAAGTCGCGAAACACTGTGTTTTTTCGTGGTTTTGTGGCTCCGGAGGGTTGAAAAGTAGGCTCGCTAAAGCGGCGGGTGCGGAGACATCTGGGGAGATGAGAGATGAAAAGTTGCACGCCGTTGTGGTGCGAAGCCGATTTCGAAGTGAAAAGGTACAAAACACCTCAGCGTCTTGGAAGTTGAGATGTTGAAAAAGTGCACGGCGTTGTGGCGCGAAGCAGATTTGGAAGTAAAATGTGTTAAAAACTGAGGGGTTCGGAGCACTGTTGGAAGTTGAGATGTTGAAAAAGTGCACGGCGTTGTGGCGCGAAGCAGATTTGGAAGTAACATGTGTTAAAAACTGAGGGGTTCGGAGCAGTTTTGGAAGTTGAGATGACGAAAAAGTGCACGGCATTGTGGCGCGAAGCACGTTTGGAAGTAAAAAGTGTTAAAAACTGATGGTCTCGGAGCACTTTTGGAAGTTGAGATGTCGAAAAAGTTCACGGCGTTGTGGCGCGAAGCACATTTGGAAGTAAAATGTGTTAAAAACTGAGGGTCTCGGAGCACTTTTGGAAGTTGAGATGTCGAAAAAGTGCACGCCGTTGTGGCTAGATAGAGCGACAGATCGATCAATAGACAGGTAGATGGATCGACAGATGGACACATAGATCGCTAAATCGAAAGATCGCTTCTCGTCGATGACCAGATAAACACATGGGTAGCTAGATAGATGGATGGATGGCTGGAAGAAGAGGTAGACGGACAGATGCATGAATGAATCGATAGAGAAACAGAACGAAGAACATGGTGATGGATAGCTGTGGACATGGATCGATGAAGAGATGGACGGAAAAAAAACTAACAGAGAGGAGTAAGTGGATGGATGAATGGCTGGATAGACAGAAAGATGGACAGTTTAATAGATAGGTGAATAAACAAATCGATCGATAGATACATGAATAGACAGGTAGATAGGTAGATGGCTAGGAAGGTAGCTCTGTAGATAGATGGCGAAATAGAGACACAGAGAGAAAGAGAGAAAGAGAGACAGAAAGGGAGAAACACTCAACCACCTTTCAATCCATCAGTGGGTTCGCTCTGCCATTTTTGCGTCACACCAACTCGCCTCTCCTATAGGTTTTCCATTTTTGAAACTTCCGCCGCCGCCTTGTGCGGTACTACTGGTAACTATTGTACATTACATTAGTAATACCATTCACCACAGTTTACCATTCACCTTCACCACATTCATTGACATTTACTGTATTTCCATGAAATTCACCATCCAGCGTGCTTGGGGTACCCTCACTTTAGGAAACCCACATGTGTATAAACCCCAATAAGTTGGAATAAACCCCTACAACACTGATTGTATATCCATAAAATAATTTACCATTTCTATGAAAAGATCTACCATGCTATTAATGGGGATTCATCCACTATTTCGACTGGGCCAGGCCGGCTTCAAGTTCGCAAAGTGTGAATGCCATGTCATTACCAGGCCGGGTATTTTCTTGGATTTGCCAGAGGAATAGTAAAATCCACTGAGCATTTTCAGTTGAAATTATTTCCAATAAGTGTGTGGTAATAAGTGGGTATCAGTTAATCATAAATCCCACTTATTGGAAATGATTTCAACTGAAAATGCTCAGTGGATTTCGAAAACTATCATTGATAACATCGTATTAATATTAGAAAAAAAAATATATATTATATATTCTTAGCAATATAGTTGATTAACATTACTGGTTGGTGCTTTCGAGCATTTTTATTACCAGAGGGTAGCATGTGCCCTGCGGCCCGCTGGTGAAGTTCCGCCGCTGCGGATCTTTTTTCTGCGCCGCGGATTTTTCTTCTCACATGGCGTGGAGTTGATGCGCCTTCTCCTACAGTTGACACCGCCCGTGGAGTGACAGCAGTTAAAGATATACTTATATTGTAATATATTATTTAACAAATAGTTAATACAACTAATGTAAAGTTTTATTATAGTTATTAAAAAATATTTACTAACATATTGTAACTAATGTAGCAGTTAATACATAGTTAACAGTGTAAAAAAACAGCATGCATATATGCATTATATATATATAAACAACATTATCATATTTAAAAAACATGATACATTGTAAATAAAACTAATACTATAATATACATATATGTATAGAAACCGTTATTTATAATAGATATGTATATATATATGTGCATATATATATAGGCATTAAAAAATATAAACAAAGAATAAGATAGATACATTGTAGAAAAGTCAATGCAAATAAAGATGCAGACTTACATCAAAAATACAATTGTATATACATATCTATACACATACATTTTTAGAATGTATGTGTATAGAGATGTACAAATAATTTATATGATTATATATATATGTAGATACACCGTTCCCAAAGTCTTTGAATGTAAAGTGGGGTCCCGTTGAATATTGTATATATATATATATATATATATATTTATGTACACATCCTGGAGTAAATAAAGAGCTTTAAACCCCGCGGCAGAATGGGAACATCTTTGAAAACTCCAGACTCTAATCTACTGATGGCCATATATTCATATGTATATATATAATATATATATATATATATACATATATATATATATACACATTGTAAAAACACGTCGTCATGTAGATCTCAGCAAGTTCAGCCTTGTAGCCTGTGTGTCCAGTTGTAAACTGTCTGAACCCTGCTTGGATCCTTTGCTCGCTTTCACCCATTTGTGCGAAGATACTGTATGGTGGAAATATGGAGAAGAATGGTCAGCCATCATTTTATGTACGCCTATCATGACAATAGCAAATACCCATCACATCTCCAATATGTCCTTTATTACTATTATTATTAAAAACAACAACAACAACAACATGTTTTGACCATGGAACGAATCACTTCCTCCTTGAACATCTTGAACTAGGACCCCACCATCACCAGTCATTACCCTGATTTTCTTTCGTCTCCTGTAGGAGGTACGCCGCATATGCATTGGCCGCCAAGCCACCCTTCAATGTGACCTGGCTGAAAAGTCGAGGGAAAGCCCCATGATTTCCATTGTTCTTAGCTTGTATACAAACTGCATGTATATAAATATGTATTTATATATATATATATTTACATGAGATGCATATATAAAAAAAAAATGTATATATATATATATGTATGTATATGAATATATATGTAGATATATACTGTATACATATATATATACTATACTGTAAACATAGCACCAAAAAAAAATAGAACCGTAATTTGTCATTATTTTATTGTAGTCTTGTAGGATTCTTCTTTTCGATCCTTTTGGGTTTTCATGTGTACAGATATATACAGAGATTTGATTCTACACAAGCCAAGCTGCACATTTTCGACCCATCACCCAGAACAACTGGCACCTGTCTCAGCTTGTCGACGGTTTGCCCCAGATCGATCTGCACCCTGAGAAAATGGAGATGTGTATCGGCACCCATCGGATTATCCGGGCACCAGTACGGTGATGATTGGTGATGTAAGCGTAACAATAAATTTGGATATTCTCCAATACTAACGAACATCAAATGGCGATGATGATTAGGTTCTAATTATATCAGCTACTGATCATTGATTGGTATAGTTGCTCAAAGCAAACGTAATTCATGTCGAATTATTCATATTTTGAATCATCCCCATGCATGGTTGGAGATTTCATCATTCATTTGAGGATGCTCAGCACCCTTCCCCTTAAAAATGTGCAGGGGATGTAGAATGTAGAACTCTATCCACTCAAAAAAATCACATATACCCCCTGGTAAACCAACATAACTATGGAAAATCACCATCTTCAATAGGTAAATCAACGAACTAAATGTGCCATTTTCAAATTCGCGAACGTTAGTCATTACCAGAGGGTATAACCATCATCAATCACTATTAGCCACTATTAGCCATGTTTAATCACCATAGGAATCACCATAGAAATAATCAGTTAGTTCACTAATAGCCATGGCCATAACATTGCCAATCTTAGATACCCTGCAAAAAATGACAAGTTCTTTGCTGGTGAACGTAGATATTCCCATTGATACCAAAAGACTAAAGGATTAAAGTATCCATGTAAAATTGACCTAGATAACTATTAGATCCCATTATTTCTATTGGATTTCCGGGACAATCAACGATCGACTCAGAAAATCCAAAGTCGATCCCGTGGAATTTCCTACTGGCGCTGGTGCCCCCCAGCCACGTGATGTGAACGTTGGTGGTTTATGATCCCCAATAACTAGTTCGATATAAGTACCATAAACCAAAGTTATTCATAGTTATTGGAGTTATTAACCAACTATGTTTGTTAGTTTATAATCCGAAAACTAGTTCGATATATCTATCATGATATATCTACCATAAGTCCAAACGTGAAATTAGAGTTATGTGGCCCCCAACTGAACGCTATCGACGGGGGGCACCACATTCTATGAAATCCCAAAAAATCACAATGTTTTCAATGATACATGGAGACACACAGTTAAGGCCCAAAATACCAGTTATAAGTACTAAGAAAACCCCATTTATAGAATGTCTTTTATCCCATAGAAATAACCAGTTATATCTAATAGCCATGGCCATAACTGCACCCGACACCTGTAACGCCTTCCGCTGAACATTGCGAAGAAGCGTCTGACATTTCTTGGCGACGTCGGCCAAGTGTCCTGGAACGTGTGCCCTTTTTGCACTAACATTGGGCACCAGCAGAGGGCACCAAATATAAATGGAGATATGATATATGCATGTGTATGTATGTATGTATGTATGTATCTATCAATCTACAAATATATCTATCTAATGTATATTTATATTTATATATATATACATCATTACATTATAGATCTATGTGTTGATTTCTTTTCTGGGGCATAAGTTTTGGTTCCTTGTGCCTGGGATAGCTTCGAATCAAACACTGATGGCAATGGAATATCCCCACAACTTTCACACGCCTGGCGGAGACTTGCTATGGTATAGGTGGCCCATTCATAGATGCTCAACATGATGATTTTCCTATCGAACGCAGTGATTTTCCAGTTCGCTACGTTAAATTACCCAAGTGTAATATTGGACCTTCTTGTTCTTTGAGGTGTCAAACCCTCAACAGTGGAAGTGATAAATGATAAACAATACGTGAAACCACCCAAACCTCCCATTGTTCTGCGATTGTATCTACAAAATATCTAAACAACTACTGATGAATGATCAACTGAGGGTATAGACAGTTTACTACACTGCACCACAAACAAAAATCCATAGCTGGTAGCCGATTTATTGACTGATACCTTGCAGCCATCAACCATCCACCGACCAAGTGAAAAATGCAAACTTCGTTTGGTGGAAGAAACAGATGTCGGGAAAACAATGGGGATGGGTCAAAAACCTACTATTGCCATACCGGGGGGACATCCATTCACCAGCTATAGGGTACCATTCCATCCAGTTCCCAACGTCTTAACCTATCGTCTCCCACGTTCCAGGCGTCTGAGGGTTATGGCCCGAGCCATAAGTCAGCAAGTCACCCCGTTCATGAAGTGGTATGTGGGGCCCGGGGCCCCCAGTAATGTGAACGTTGGTTCATAATCCCCAGCAACTATAGTTACAGGATGTTACAGGTACCATACACCATAGTTACTGGAGATATTGACCAACTTTGCAATTGTTTGGGGGCCCCACTTTGTACCACCATTTATAACCATGAAAATAACTGGTATTTCGGGCTTTGACTGTAGGTATATCTACACCTAACATGTTGGCTCCAGGAAGCTCACTATATACATTTGTTGCGTGTCCCCGAAAGTCACATGACTCATCTCACCGTAGCAATCCCTTCCCCGATTCATATTAAACACCCCCACACGAAACCATGGTTTAGTAGGGGATTTGCACATATTTGGGATTGGAGGGTGTTTAATATTACCGGGAAGAATTGACCAGGATTAATGCACAATTAACACAGCACTGTGGCTCCAAGTACCTTCTGAGGCAGTTACCTTGGAGTATGCTCTTGGGGGTTAAGTACATTCCCGGGAAGGATTTGGAATTATAGGACAGCGGGAAAATAAGTCAAATGAGTCATTTGGGTCTACACGTGCAAGCTGTACCTTTATAAAGCAAATGCACAATGTAAGTGTTGCGTTTCAGTACCTGCTGCAATCATGTTTTTCTAAACAAAATATGTGCTGGGTTGTCTAACTTGGGACCTCAAGACTATATACCCTCTGGTGTCACCAAACGTGGCAGTTGAAAACCACTCATTTAGTTCATTTTCCGATTAAAACTTACATGTGTGAATATTTTCCAGCCAGGCACGTTTGATTACCAAAGGGATCCAAAGGCTTACCTTTCAACGTTTGAACTAGCACAGTTAGTCCATTTTTCACCACTCTGCTACAGTGGATGGTTGCGAAATCCTGCACCAGTTGATAGGTGGCAAAAATCATTTTCTTGGCTTTTCAACCATCCAAGGTGGCGCAGGATTTCGCAACCATCCACAGTATGTTCATAACTTACCTTTTATACTCTTCAACTACTTGAGCAGTGTTCAAAATCCCTGTGTCATTCCATTGAATCCTGGTAGGTTTATAGGAGTTCCCCCTTCTTGGGTTATAGCAGTCCCCAATATATTGGGTAGATTTGGGTAATATAATCCCCTATAATCATCAACCAACAGGGGGGTTGAACAGCCGTCCTTGAGGGATCAGTAAGTCTTGCAGTAGGGACGATGGAAGCAGGAGGTGCATCTGGTTCGTTGAGGCTGCTATCCTTGGTGTTCAGCGTTCTGGCCCCACTGAATAGTAGATAGATGGATGTATGTGAATCACTTCCAATTAGATATACTCTCCAGTAAACTAACAAAAGTATGGAAAATGGACCGTTTAAACAGATGACTTACCTATTCGAATAGTGATTTTCCATAGCCATGATAGTTTACCAGAGGGTAACAATATATAGTCTCCGCTTAATATATGGAATATCCCACTTACTTCAGTTATGTATATCCCACTTATATATCATCCCACTTACTTCCAATTAGATTCATGGAATATCCCCATTTGTTGGAGGAAATAGGGGTTATATGAATGGATTATAGTTTGTTGTATCGCAAAGTCAGTGGGCCGCTAGTATCCTATATTGGGATTGACTCGCACAAACCAACAAAGGAAAGGGGACAATAATCGTCATAAACAACGGCAGGCAAGCTTCGTAGGTCAGACAACACCCTGATGCACCCACGGCTTGACCCGGGAATAAAGCCACAATGCCAAAAGTCCCTGGAGTTTTCACATTCAGAGGTAAAAGCCAGCTTCAGCCGCCACTTGCGGAGGTGATATTATATCAACTATATAATGTCCTTGCTTATTGCATCATATTGTGATTCAATGTCCTGCACAACCATTGGACAACATTTCAAGCCTGTGGGTGGGTGCAAATGGGTCTGAATTCGGTGGTCTGCTTTATAGGCTCACCAGCACCTGGTGCCATCTTGTTTGCTTTCAAAGACAAGTCTTTCTGGACCTCCATCCAGGCAAACAGGCGAGACCCCATCGCTGCAGTGTACTTACTGAATTGCTTGGCTGTGGAGAGGTTGGCGACCGCGGCGTTGTATTGGTTCAGCTCCGAAGCAGCCCTCATTGGGATGCCCACTTGCAGCCACTGTGTTTCCCACCTGCGTTGTTTCTTTTGCTTTTTTGGCTCCGCAGTTTTTGCTGCGGAGCTGCTTGCCGCGCTGCTTGCCGCGGCCCGCTCACGCTTGCTGTCTGCGATCGCCTGGCGATAGAACACACATACACACAGATTTCCACATATCCACAAAGGCTGGAACACACCACCAGCGCTCACACTTCCAAGCCAACTTTGGATTCTGGTCCCAAATTGTGCGCCTGCAGCGTGGCTCGCCCAAGTAGGGAACAAGTGGTTTATAATCCATTCATCTAACTGGGGATATTCCATACGACGGAACTGGGCTATAATATGGTATGCCATGGTGGAATGTATCCACATATAAATGGAACTGCACCCACAAGGAGGGAAGAAGGTGATGCCCACCCAGTTATAAATTGGTTTGTAAAACCCATTAACTACAGTTATATATACCATAAACATCCATAAACC